TACACTAATAGACCACTCAGTATGCATCTGCACTAAGTTTTAATGGATGCATCTACATGAGACATTTTACTGTGCAGCAGACTAATTTGGTATACAGTAAAGCATCACCATCTACATGTGTGTGGCAGTTAGGTCACAGTAGACTAATTTTCCGTGCTGCTGGATAGTCCAATCAGATATAAGTGGTATCCAGCAGCATAATAAATTACTGCACTTAAATGCACGTGTAGATGGTGATGTTGGGATTAGCTTAGTCCAGCTCAAATTGAGCTAGATTCTAGAGTATATTGAATCTCATTCATTGCATGTATAGATGCACCCACTGTGTTCCACTGAAATAGTTATCTGAATTCTAATCAGAATCATAGAATCATAGAATCAATGAGTCAGAAAGGACCTAGACAGATCATCAAGGCCGACCCCCTGCCATGGGCAGAAAGGAGCACTGGGGGTAGGAGGGGTCATGAGACCCCAGCCAGGTGCCTATCCAGTCTCCTCTTAAAGATTTCCAGGGAAGATGAGAGCACCACCTCTCTGGGAAGCCTATTCCAGGCTCTGGCCACCCTTACAGTGAAGTAGTTCTTCCTAATATCTAACCTAAACCTATCCTTCCTCAGCTTGTGGACATTGTTCCTGGTGACTCCAAGGGGGGCCCTGGTGAACAGACGTTCCCCAAGTCCCTGCTGGTGGCCCCTGATAAGGTTGTAGGCAGCTACAAGATCCCCCCTCAGTCTCCTCTTGCAGAGATTCAAAAAGTATGGGTTGTGGGGGAGCAGGCTGTAATCCTTACTCTCAAAAAAGCCTTTTAGAATTGCAATAGTATCTGAGCAACACGTTTGCATATTTTTTCCCCTTGGATAGTATGGTGACTTAACAGTGGGACTCTCATCATATGCTCATTTCAGAGTCCGTATTTGGAAATGCCCTCCTGTTGATTCTGAACCCAGAGAAAGTTAAATAAAGATTTAGGCATCTTGAAGCTACTGCAGATGAAGCATGATTATTTTTCATTGATCTTCATTAAAAACAATCATATCCTTAAAGTATAGCTATAGTCTGGAAAAAAATATTAAAACTAGCATCATGGTGTTCTGTGTTTATTGTCCCTAAATGAAAAACAGATCAAATTTACAAGTAAAAGAGTTTTATTTTTTTCCTCTAGCTGCTAGCAAGCAAACTCCACTGAGACTGTGAATATCAAGCTGTGCTCCTTTTGACTTTGCACCAACAAAATCAAAATTCTGTACTTGGAATGTCATTAATGCTGATGATGATGCAAGAGGCAGAATAGAAGTCAGCTCATTCTCTTCTACAGCCTTGTTGATCCTGTGGTGCTAAAGGGCTTGAAATATTTATTTTTTCCTCTTAAAGGAAAAAATAAAGTTACTTCTTTGAACATACTTGTACTGTAATGCAATTTTTAAAAGAAGGACTAGATCATCATTTTAAGAAAATCAGAAAGGTGAACGTTAAGTATTAAATCAAATAAACCAATTCCCTTATAAAGATGTGTTATTAGTGTACCCCTTTGCTTTCAAATGCAACATTACAGGTAAAGTGACAGGGAACCCTCAGCACTCTCAATTAATCATTCAAGTTACAGAATTATTTCTCAGAAAATATCTGTATTTCTTCTCATTAACTTTGATTATATGCTTTTCTCTCAATGTCAAAATACTGATAATTATTTTTTTCTTCCAAATAACATAACACTCTTGGACGTTAACGTCTATTACTTGTAATACTCCACCTTGTTAGGGTCAGTGTAATGCAAGAACATAACATCTTTTGGGTATTCATTGTGGCTAACAGTAGTTGGGCAGATCAAGTCTGAATGCTTGAATCATGTTATCAGAAACAGATAAAGAAAAATAACTCTGTCTCAGGGACCTAGCGGTTAAATGCACTGAACCCAGTGGACTTGCACAAGCAGCCAGGTACCAGATAAAAATGGTCAGGTCTGGATTTAAATAATCCATGCTGATGTAGAATGCTGCCATATACAAATATGTTCCTGTGTTCTGCATACTCTTAGCTATCTGTAAAAAATCCATTTCCATAGTGATCAGACATGCAGAATGGTAATTTCCTGAAAGTTCAGGATCCTGGCTAAGTGGAAATACTTCTGCTAGACTAATATCATTATTTGAACCACATGACATGAGGGGAAAACTATCTGTTCATGGCAGAGATTACTGTCTCAGAGCCTGGGGTGAATTTCATCCCTGACTCACAGAGATACTTCTGAGAGAAAGTTTTACCTTAAGTTGCATGTATTATCAACTTTTCCTCAGGAGGTGATGGATTTGTCCCACCACAAACACTTCATCTGCCAACACTGTCTTATGTAAATTACTTGCACAATGGAGACAAGCATTAAATTATCTTGTCCTGAAATATAGATATCTCAGTCTTTTCAAGTCCTTTGTTTTTTACTTCCTTTTTTTGTCCCCAGCCCATTCTTGTTAATTTCTGCACATGACTACCAGGGTGTTATCTTCCAGGTCTCTGGAAAAGCTTTACATTTTGAAGGACGCATAACAGTACTTCTCAGGAAGAATTCCCTTATGGGTGAAACATAAGAGGCACACGTACACGTTCGATTAATGTGCACAAATAACCTCCAGAGCTTATTACTCCAGAGTTTTTTGCCTCCAGGCACACTGTTTGAATGTGTACCCAGGAGCAAGAAACTGGAGCATATTGATCCAGAGTTTATTTGTGCACAGCACATGGAGCCTGGTAGGAGCAGCCCAGGGTGGCAGGGGACCGAGGGGGTCAGCCTGCCAGCCTGGGGGTTCTCTGACTGGGCTCCATGTACTGTGGAGGAACTGGCTGAGGTACAAGGATGCTTCAGCGTGGGGGCTTGCCTGCTGGCTAGCTCTACACTGGGGCACTCTGTGCCCTAGCCAGCTGTGGTAGCATCTACATGTGCGGCGCTGCTCATGAAAAAACTCTGCAGAAGGCTAGGACTTGTGTTTTACAAGTCCTATCCTGATTGCAGAGTTTATTAATTCTATGTCTTACATGTAGAAGCTGAGATGTTTACTGCACAGTTAATTAATCAACTGTGCCGTAAATGTCTCGTATAGATGCATCAAAGAACATCAGTTCCTGGCTTCACCACAGACTTTTCTGTGCCACCTTGAGCCAGCCCATTAGCATCAGATTGTGTATGTTTTACTCACATTGCTGAACAGTTATCCTAATGAGCAGTTCATTGACTTCTAATTTGTGTCAGAATTGGCCATCCTTCCACTGAACAGTTTTCATTCCTCGAATATTCCAGTTGATTTCACACTGGCATTGCACTGAATAAGAGTGACAGTGATAGGATCTTGCCTGCAATCTCACTTTCTGTCAGTTCTTCTGCACCTTACATCAGTGCTGGGCGGATAAAGCCATTACTACTTGAGAGGCACTTGTATGCTGTGGGCCTGATGTCATATAAAAGAGATTCTGAAGGGAAATATTTTTTTCCCAAAATGTTCTTCTATTTCTTGCATTCAACTCAAGAAATAACTGTCTGGAGAAAATGCTACCGTTATAAAAAGAAGCACCAATAACTGAAAACTTTTTTTCATTATCTAAATATCTGTGAGGTGTCAAGATGTTCTCCATAATGTTGCCAAGCAGTTATACCAAAGACTGAGAAGCAGAACTCCTTGGATCTGTTGTAAGCTCTGCCAGTAACCCATCACTTCACTTTGTCCAAGTCCCAGAATTTCTTTTCCTCAGTTTTCCCAGCTGCAAATCAGATACACAGATCTTATCTCTCAGAGAGAGAGAGAAATCTAATGCTTATAAGCGATTGAAAACCATAACTAAAAGTTGCTTTGTAGGTGCCAAGCACTATTGTTTTTATTGCTGATGAATTCTTTGTATTTCATGGCAGTGTCATTAAAATCAGTGAACCTAAAGTTTTCTCAGTGCTTTCATTACAAGCCTTTCATGTCGTATAATCCAGAAATAAATAATCTCTGGAATCAAAACTTTAAGCACAGCTCTACCAAAAAAAGTTTCTTTTACTTTTTTGAGAGTTCACAAAATAAATGTCAAGTGGGAACAAAAAATAAATGTCCCCTCGTGCTAGGACTTCAAAATGGCTGTTTTTTATGCTGATCCTTTGCAGGTTATTGGTCTAAACCTACTGTGATATAGTACTTGAAAGGATAAGAAGGGAAAATGAAATGATAATGCTGGTTTATTTAGGAAATTGGCTATATTTTGTGTTGAGCAACCCTTGGTCAACCAAAATTGATTAAAAAGAACTTTAGGATGCTAATTTAAGTTCTCAGCTTGCAAGCTCTTATGCATGTAGGTAACTGTCTCACTGAGTTCAGTTGTGACAAATTATTTCCTTTGTAGGAGTTGTGGTTTCAAAGTATATTGTGATTTCACCATAAATGTTACCAGGACAAAAAATGTTGAGAAGCTGACATCCATCTCTACTGAGACTTAGTAACTTTGAGGAGAATTAAGATCCAGCAGTGCGTTTTAAAACTCATAAATCTAAGAAGGTTCAAATTTCATTGCAGTTTTTCTTCTGCCCTTTTTTCCCTTACGTTTTGATTTCTGCCTCAATAAAACCCTAATTTTAAATGTCTCCAGTTAATTTTGCCCTGCTGTGGCTTTCTTACAAAAAATAAAAGAACCCAAGCAAAACCGCACAGAGAGAACCAGAGAGCACCTGCTCGTACTTTACATGTGTTTCATAAATGCAGTTTAGCTTCTTGCCCTTGCCCTGTCAGCCCTCATAAGCACTGAATTTATCATCTTAAGTTTAAACACACAAAATCCAATCTGTCTTCAGTTCGCAAGTGTCATCTCTGAATGTTATTAATTAAAAGGAACAAGAATGCAATACATCTGGATTAAAAACCACTGCTTACTCTATAAGACCATGTGTCCACAGAACATGTTTTCTTTTCCTCTGGAAAATTTACATCTGTGCCTGTGTTCCATGAAATGAGTTTAAACTTCTATTTTTACTTTTTAAGGTATGGGCTGTCTGTTGAAAGTATCTTCCAGAACTGGCTTGACACTTCTGGAATACCAAAGGTAAATGAAAATACCTCTTTTCAATAGTTTCCAGACAATGACTTTTTCAAGCACATTGTTCAAATCACTGCCTGTATTTATAACAGGTACAGCACAAAATAAATCTGTTTTGATGACATCTGCTCTGCATGTCTTTATACTATATTCATGTGGGCTCAATTTTGATCAGTTACAGGTTTTTTCCTTCTACTTTCATCTCAGCAAAGCTGCCAAAGGGGAAATCTTTCAGTTTTATTGCTAATCACTCTGGTCACTGGAAAGTGTGCTGTGAGGTATTGTAGTGGGGTTTCACTACAAGTAAGGAGCATTGTTCACAGATGTTAATTTGTGAATTACTGACAGATACACTGACAGCAATAACTTCAATAACTATTAAAGTATTTGTACTTTGATATTTTGTGAATAGTGAGACTTGTTCACAAATCTTTGGAATTTGTTAAGTGAGTTACATTTATTGCAGTAGAGCACTACTGTTGATAAAGATGGGGTAATCCTTTTGGTTTAAAGGTTGACTATTGTGAAATCTCTGAAATCCTTGTTCTTCTTTATAATATCCTTTGTTCTGTCTTCATAATATTTGCCATGCCTCACTAGTCCAAATATGTGCTTTTTTGAGCAATAAGTTTTCAAAATACTGTTGCCCTCCTGCCCTTCCCCACTGCCCTGCCAGAAAAAAAACAAACCAAAATCACTTGATTCTTCAGTTGTTTTCAGATTCAAATTTGGGGCTTATTTATATTCAAACCTCTGCTCCATCCCCAAAATGATTTTGGTCACTTGGGATTTATCTTCGCTAGTGCCTGGCACCAACTGCCTTCTTGGGAGAAGTAATACTGAAACAGGACAAAGTTGGTAGCTGCCTAAAAGGAGCCTAAAAGGGGCTATATAAGAAATAAGATTAGGGGGTCTGTTGAAGCCAGAAGATTTTCAGGCAGTTTCTAAAATAAAATATCTGGGTGGTTCAAGGTGACTTGCTATGGTCATTCAATCTGAGATGTACCCATGTATTATGTGCTTGAGTATTACCATTAGCCACTTTCAGAGAATAGATAAGGGTATATTTTCCTTGTTTTCTCTTTGCATTCTGCAGGGCTTTTTCTGGAAATTTTGCACTGAGACCAAAATACTTGCTGTCCAAATAATATTGTAAAATGCTGTAAAATCCGGATTCTATCTGTTTTTACTTTAAAATCAGTATAAAGGCAATTAACATTACTTAGACAAGATACTAAGCAGTTAGGGACGGTGAAATTGTTATTCACAATATTCTGTAATTTCCTGAACAACTGAGCTGAGTGTGATCAAAGAAAAGCAAGTAGCTTTTTGGTCAAGGTTTGGTTCCTGATACAGAACCCCCTGATTTAAGCTGCTCATACAATGTGCTTATTCATAAATGTTGGTATTGAGACAGGGAATATAGGAACGGATCGCAGTAAGGAGGGAACACACGGCAGAAAGTCAGAGCATTACAGGTTGGTGTGAACGTTAGAAGGAAGCTTAAGAACTCTGCCCCTTTGCCAGCCTTAGGACTGTATTAGGACACAACTCTTGAGGGGTCATCTCATCCCTACCCAGTGATTCTTAAGGAATCATTCCAACACTATGCATTTCAAAACTCAGTTCAGTGATTACAATTAAGAACTAATCCAAGCATTAGTTGTTTTTTTTGATCCCACGGTGAAAGAAAAATCACCTTCAAAGGGACATCTCTTTGTGAGAGTTCAGATGTGCTGACAGAGCAGAACTAAAAAGGGAGAAAGTGTGGGTGCCTTCAACCCAAGTGATGGGCTTTAGAGGAAGGGAAATAGAACCATTTGCGCTCTAACCCTCAGTATTCACTTTCTCAACAAGTACAAGTACATCTCTCAGACTGACTAAGAGAGGGCTTAAGGGACTAAGAGGCACTTCAGAGGCTTCCCTTTCCGCCACTGGTTTTTGATCAAGGGAAGGAACCCAGAACAGAACTAGAGCTTTGAGAGGTATAATCTCCATCAGTTTTCTTATCTCCTTCCTTGTTTTTAGTGCAAATGAGCCTGTGCAATGTGCTGAGCTTACCTAGTCTCATTTCCTCCCCTATCCTGTGTCCAAGGCACTCTCTTCATCTGCATGCTGATACTAAGGAAAAAAGAGATCAGAGAAGCATGGGCATGTTTGAGGAAGAAAGAAGGAAGTGAGAGACATACTGTGTGGGATCTAGGTAGGCCCTCAGCTCTGCTCCCCACACTTCCCTACTTTCATCCCCTCATTACTGTCCCCACCTTCAAAATCTGCCACCACCATGTTAAGCTAGGGTACAGAGATGCAAACAAGCATATTCAGTGTATGATGTGGGCACACATTGCTAGGAGAGGATGGAAAACTTGGGAACATGGTTGCTTAGAGTGTGCCACAGACATACAAGAAGCAAGGGTTTTTTAGTGATATTTTTATTGGATCAATTGTACTGTTGGGACAGATTTTAACGAAGCTTTTGGGTGCAAAGTAGTTTTGCTTGTTGGATATTTTCTATGCCACGGGTGCGGCAACACTAACTCTGCTACAGATGTACAGTGCAGAGACTTGGGTAAAGAAAGGAATGGGGATGCCAAATGCAAGGGTCAGTAGGGACTTGAGAACAACATGCCAGACCAACCTGATTGGTCATGTCAGACCAACCTGATTGCCTTTTATGATCAGGTCACAAAAGTATTGGATCAGGTGTTGCCGTGGATGTAGTCTTTCTGGACTTAAGCAAGGCCTTTGACACCGTCTCCCACCCCATCCTCATTAAAAAATTGGGCGATTGTGGCATTGATATCTACACAGCCAGATGGATTGCAAATTGGCTGAAGGGTCACACTCAGAGGGTGGTGGTGGATGGATCATATTAGACCTGGGGAGAAGTGGGCAGCGGAGTCCCCCAGGGCTTGGTCCTTGGGCCTGCGCTGTTCAATTTCTTTATCAGTGATTTGGATGATGGGGTGAAAAGCAACCTGTTTAAATTTGCTGATGATACCAAAATTTGGGGTGGGGTGAGCACGCTAGTAGGGAGGGAAAGACTTCAGCAAGACCTGGGTAGGTTGCAGGGTTGGGCTAACAAAAACAGGATGCACTTCAATACTGACAAGTGCAGGGTGCTGCACTTGGGCAGTAGTAACCAGCAGCACACTTATAAGATGGGAAACTCCCTTCTTGAGAGCACGGAGGCAGAAAGGGATCTTGGAGTCATTATTGACTCCAAGATGAACATAGGCTGACAATGCGAGGTCACGGTTGGCAGGGCTAACCGGACCTTGTCGTGCATCCACAGGTGCATCTCAAGTAGAGCC